CTAGTTGACTGTTGTATTCCCATACTGAAGCATTACGTCCACTTATAACAATCAATGAACCCATTCATGAGGCTGTAAATAAGATAAATTTGGGGCATTGCGTCTTAAAGGAGTTTGTGCATTGTTACATGAATCGACTTCTCGTAAAGAAAATTGAAAACGATTTATTTTCACAAATGATGATGATGTTTCGAGCAAAATGGTGCTCATAAACAAACCAAAAGTCATAATTTCGATTGTATATTTCACAACTGATTTCATGTAACATAATTTCATTTTGTTTTTCAGTCTGATGATCAACAAACTGAAGGGACAGACACGAAATAACTGATCTCACTGATAAAAGCGAACATATTCATGGATTTTTTACAGAGAAGGCGCTCTTACATCATTTACCTTCTGAATTAAAATATAGTGGCGATATGTGGATGAGACAGTGGTTATATTAGAGAAAAACGAAATAAAACGATTTGATGCACACATGAATTCACACTGATACAATAAAATTCGCAGCAGGAAAAGAAAATGGGCTCCATACCTAATCTTTTTTAGACCCTAAGTTCAAAAAAATTTATGAATGGAGGTCCGCAGACCACTTCTTATAAAAAGGTTTACACTCAGCGAGATTAATGGATTTTCACCAAGTTCATCCAACCTCAGCGCAACCAGGTTTGAAGCAGGGTCATGTGGTGAAAGATAGTAATTTATCAATATGCCTTGAAAACTGATGTCAACCAATGATTATTCCATTCAAAATACTGCTAAAAAACACTATCCTGTAAAACTTATGAAAGATAGTTTTAGTAAGAAAAACCGAAAAGTAAATAGAGATCATAATTATACACTTTCACAGTAAAGGATTGCAATTTAAACAAATTTAACCATCTAAGGGCTAACAAATTTGCTAAGAAACAATATGATATTAAAAATATCACGTGTTGGAAATCTGGTTAGTTGTATGGTTAAAACTTTGAGATCACTCGAGCTAAGGTCTACACAACATCAAAGATTGGCCAAGGATTGACTGGTGATAACTAAAAAGTAAAAAAGAATAAGAAAATATCTAGTCGAAAGTACTTTTGTGAAGTGAATCGAAATCATGCCATCTTTAAGAAGGATGCTAACTTATTAAAGTCTAATTTTAAGTAGATGCGAAGAAAGAATAATGGTGAAGTTCATATTTATACTTTTCAATGGAATATATGCAACATAAGTGACGTAACTCTGTTGTTAAATGTGTGATCAAAATCCCTAATACTGGTATGTCCATGGACAGTGATTCTGCTCAAAATCCCATGGAAGCTGAAAAATTTGATCATTCCAAAAGAAAACTCATTTTGAATCTATTTATGATGAAAATTAGGCAGCATTTAAGGATCCATTCCACTATGAAATTTTATAAGTTCGTTTAAGTTTCATGCTTTCAGGACAGTAGACAATATACCTAAAGAAATAAAATAACTTGTTTATTGTAAATGCTGTTGAAGTACTCAAAGTAGCAATTTTATTGAGCAAGGTAATTTCATTGTTATTAGATATCATACAAGCTTGTCTTTTAGCTAGAACAATTAGAAATTAAAAATAAACTCCCCTTTAAATGAATAACATTTAACTCTCTTTAAAGCAATAGATATGAGCTGAAGAGAAGCTTAAAATTCAGTTATAAATATCAAGAACTCTCTCTAGTTCTACCCTCTGCCTATTTTTTTCATTTTGTCTCATTGTATTTGACAGTCATTTTGAGTTAACTATACTAGGTGAAAGATTGGTAGGCTTTAGCAAATGATTCTGCCGACATCTGAATTTCATTCAAATTGATCAACTTTCCATTAAATAGTTTTAAGTAACAAACGAAGCGTTATTTTTAAGTGTTTATTCGGCTGAACGCAATACAAAATAAAGTTTATCTTGTGTAGAATAGGTTTTTTCTGGAACAATCATAAAATAGACTATGTATGGTATGAAAATGCCATGCCAGTCCAACAACGGCTTCAATCTGTCCCATTTTATGAGGCCCCAAACCTAAAACTCTTATATTTTGGCAGTGATTATCATAACAAAGCTCTGAAAAAACTTGTATCACTTACTAAGAGTAGAAGCCCTGTGGATTACTATTGAAATTAATGACTCCTTTATGAGCTTGCTGCATTAGGTTTCATATTATCTAAGAATGAGATATGCATATGAATCGGGGATCAAATGGTAACTAGAACGGCGCTTGGTTAAGTGAATGTCCTATTTTAGTAAGTAATTTACCGTAGGAAGAACAAATTAACACAATCTCAACTTTCTTCTCTTCCGAATGTAAAGAATTGGGTGACCGATCCATGGTGACATTCATCTTTGTTCAGAAATCACAGTTGTTTTAATATGACGTGCCAATTGAGACCACTCTGCAAAATTACTGCATTTCCATTTCAAATGTACGTGTAATAAATGGTGAGTGTATAAGCTTTATATGACAGTGAAAACATTGCTACAATCATAAGAACAATTTTTACTAAGTATGTGATTGGTTGAAGAATGCTTACTCCGAAAATCTGGATTTATAAGTCACCTCAAAAATGATGAAGATAATCCATTTTTCTTCTATACAAAAAGTGATATTTTACCATAGTGCTGCATGAATGCTATGAAATAATTTACACAAAAAGAAAATCTTTAAACACTACACCTAAATACTGTAAAGAAAAATCAACCAACAGAACACTTCACTTGTGGTTGGTTATGCGTCTTAACTTGGTATCCAATAATATACCTTGAAAATGAATAATTGCCTTGATAATTCACGATGCCATCAAAAGCCAGTAACTTAATGTCAAGAGAATTCCTTAAAGGTTATTTCTATTACAGTTGGTAATTACCAAAAGATAGAACAATAATTTCGACTTTTTACCGAAACATTCAAATGAATTATTCACTGTTTTATTACTTTTATAGCATAAAAACCTTTTCGTAATAATCATGTAGTCTATCGATTATTTTTAACGTCTAATAATAAGAATCTTGTGTAAAACTTAATCAACATTGTATGTCTGATTGAATTGGTAGTTTGATAAAAAAAATCTAGTTTTGCAAAGAACGTTTATCATGTGGAACATAAGCGACAAGAGAAATTCGCATTGACAATATTCTTATAGATGAATTTCCCGAGGATCCATTAGATGGAACATGTGGATAAATACTCACTGGTGGCTGCGAATCATGGTCATGCAATATTGTATGCATTTGGATTTCGACTTGACAGTTTATTGGTAGGGTGATCGCCAAGAGACCTGAAAGTTCTAGGTTCAATCACCAGTGCAGTCGCTAGAATGTCATACTGGGGGAAAACAGTACTTTTAAGTATTAGGTTAAGTTTGAAAGGCATTTTAAAGTATCACTGTTTCTATATGTGTCAGCTATCAGCAAAGCCAACCCACACCAGCTTTTACACGGTAGCTCTGCGAAAAGAAATTATCTTGATCAAACAAACAAACTTACAGTGAAACGGTCCCATTTTATTCATATACCTTGGGTACAACTATAATCTGTAGGCTTACATATGAGTGTGGCTTATAAATACTGCTGCTCATATGGTAGTTCTTTTTACATCTTATCTATATGGTTTCCAAAATCCATGTCTACACACGGATGAACTTCATCTTCTGTTATAAATCTACCTCAGTTTTTTCAAAGATACCATGGAATCTATTGTCTTTTAAAACGCTGAAACGGTCTCCAACTCCAGTGCAAGTAAACTGGAGAGCCGATATATGATCAAATTAATCAGGAATACAAAACAAAGGGATCACATGCTTTGGATAGAATCAAGGATTGAGTTGTGCTTCCTAAAGTACAACAAATTTCCTAGCTTTTACTTGAAATAACCCGGTTTAACATAAGCAAATATGAATGAAGAAAGTTTCAATAATGAAGGTCATGATGAATATATTTAACTAAAAGTTCTAATAAACAATGACATTGAAAGCTGAACAAGCTTATCCCTAATCATGATACTAATAGGAAGACTTATAGGTTAGTAGAGAATCTCTCTCTGCTAAAATGTTTTATTTATCCAAAAGATGCGGTGGTCATTTCATTCCTCTACAGGCTCGTATTTCTTTGCTGAAGGCTTTTGATTTCATTTTGCATGTCATCTTTGATCTCCATTCGCACAGAAGTAAGTATGATGCACCTTTTGTGTCCGATTTTTCGAATATGATTTACTATTCACTGAATAGTTGTTAGACAGTTAATTTATCACATGAACAAGAGACATTACATACAGTTTTTCAAATTTGAATCTGGAAATTGTAATAAACTTCAGTTACTTAGTATACTGTGATATAAATAATAGCAATTATGATGTGATCGATTTGAATTAAACCTAAGCAATTAAAACTACTTCCTGAGCTACATAAAGGCAATAACTACTAAACTCTTAAAATTAAACTCATACTTTCCGAATGAAACAGTTATCATTCAATCATAACCTTGATAAATCTTACTTTATTCTTTCAACGTATGGCATTGTATCTCTCTTTTAGTCTGTTTATTGAAAATGTCACACAGTGAAACGGAATTATTTACCGGATTACGGGTGTGTGACGTATCTAATAAACAGACTTAAATTCAATTACAATCTACCACAGTGCCTAAGTTTCACAGTTACATTTATTTTCTGATACTCAAGAAATCTACGTACTACTTCCCATTTTCAACTTGTTTAAAATTCTGAAGTAATTATTCACAAAGTTGATGAAGTATAACCATCCACTAATGAGTTCACTCAATGTATTTGTCTATTCTGTTTCGATACTCTAATCCCAGCAAGTAAAGTAAATAAAACCTTTCTCGTAATGATAGTAAGATTGCAGGCGTCTGATAAAAATCCATAAGTTGAAGTTAATTCTCATTGCTTCATTTTTTACTAAACAGCTACATGTTTCCCCTTTGACACTGTTACCTCTTTGTTTGTCATCTAATCCTGTTGTATAATCTTGGGAGAACTCTTTTACCTTCAATAACGCTTTCTTCATTCTGAATAATCGATGAAATCAAACCTAAAGTTATGGTCTTACCCTTGACTAACTCAGTATAAGTTCCTGGATGCATTTGTTGGCGTGATTTCTCTAGTACCGTTCGTCAACCTGCTTATGGTGACCAAACATGAATGAAACATAAGATTTAGTTTTATCATACTTTTCTGCTGCTTGATGTTTACAGAAATACTGAGTACGTTAATACTGCACAATACGAACAGTCAAAAATAACTTAAAACGATCTCAATATTCCACTAGTCAGATCCTTATCGTTTAACAGCTGGTTGCAGTAATTTTGTAAGGATCTCCGGTATACTGTTTATGTATGGTAGGATGATCCATTTACTAATGTCTATTGGTGATTCTGTAGTTGATAACTAACTGGATAAGCATCCTCTGGTACTGCCTCTTGAGCAACCGTTCTTCTTTAGAACAGATTTCGAGCTATTTTCTTCTTTTCACCGTGAAGTTATTGTACTGCAGTGTGTTCTTGCTTTTTTGAATAAGGTGTGTACGCAACCAATTTGGTTTGTTGTTGCTAATATGGCTAATTATCTGATTAGTTTGTGTTGACCTTCTACACACTTGAGTCTTCAGTGTTGGTGCTAGTGACTTAAAATTAAGAGATAACAGTTTGTTCTTCAATTCCTTCATTGTGTCTTTTAAAACGTCTTTCATCAAACTGCAAGCGTTTTCTAATCCATTCTTTCCAGTGATAAAAAGTATCGTCCAGACAGCTAGTCCAAACGTTTAGTTTGATCACAGGAATACTGGTGGATTTCCATCTTGACATTACCGATTCTTCAATTATCCAGATTTCAGTGATCTCGTTAGTGTTTTTTTCCATCTGTCATTATATCTCATCATTAAATTAGAAGTATTTTGTCAGTGATTTCTGTCAGACTTACACACTGACGTTTTGTGCATCCCGAAAGCCTTTCGTCATAAGTGAAGAGGTGTGACACGTTATCCCTAGCCAAGTGCGTTTATATTTATCTGTATGATGATGTGATGTCAAAGAAAACGAATAATTCTTCATTTTTTATGTTGAATTCTTCTGATCCTTTCCAAGAATTTGGTTGGTGGTTTGATGGGATATCCACATGACTCCACACGACACTGCGGTTTCCTGGAAAGCTCTTCAAACAGTCAGATTGTTGACTGAGGTACCTGGCGGTTAGATTGTTGGTTGTAGAGGAATATCTGTTTTGCACAGTTTTAGTCTTCTGTGTAACAGATGGCAGGTTTTCATTGGTAAGAGAAAAACGTTGTCACTCACCTTCGTTTATCATATTTTGGGCTCCCACCTGTTTCGGAGTCGCTTTATTACCTGTTTTTCCATCCTCAGCTTCATAGCTTGAATTTCTTCCACCCCGGCCCCAATATATGCCTTCAAAAAACCTTCTAACACCCACCTACATGGCAGAGTGATACGGTCGGATGACTTTGAGTGATTTCTAACTGATCCTGTTGTGCTATAGTATATTCCATCAGTTCATAACCTTTATCTATCAGATATCATATTTCTTGTTTTTGGCTGGGTGGTTTTCATCGGAAATCCTATTGACATAGAAGTTAGACAGCTAGAACAATTACGCAACTGTGAGAAATTTCAGCATGACTTGTGCAAATTGTAAATAATCTAGGAATTGATCCTTCCATCTGGTGTAATAAAATATTTCTCTCTCTGCTGACCTAATTCACAAATACAAAAGCATTCACATGCCAACTGCAAATTAAATGAGACAGTAAAGGTACTTTCTGAACGCTTTTGTTAACCCAGTATGACAGGAAAAACAAGCATATCTCATACTATAAACTTTAACTTTGGGCACCACTAATAGTTGATTTCAAACTTGGCTAAATGACTACAATGTTCTAGGAGCAAACAAAATGACTTCATCAGACTCAATTTGGCAAAGATCATGAGATACTGTTCATCTTCTAGTCCCGTAATGAGATAGTCAACTAAACAACCAAAAATAAACTTTTTTTCATCCCAGTTACAAAACACAATTACTGAATCTGAAATACTTCACACTGACAAAAGTAATTAGATTTAAAGTTTTAAAATAGACAGCATATCAAATAATCTTAAAAAAATATTTTTTGTATCAAATTTCAAAGTACAAATGGTGTGAAGAGAAATAAATAAGTCTCAGAAAAATGAAACTGGAAAGCTCTGCCACAACCCATCTCAAATTATTTACATGGAATCCAGGAAGCAGATTCCAATGAAGGTAACATTCATTATAGACAACATAATACTTATTCGACACAATTTAACTATCATTTTTCCTTGCGTAACCAAAAGTCAGATTTCTTTTTGAAAAGATCTGTTATGCAAATATCTAATGACTGAAATACCGGGTATTTTAACTTCTAGACGAATAAACTAAATCCATCACTATAACCAAACATATTGCTATGCTGTGAATATCAGATGCACAAATTACTAATAAATGAATTAAAAACATATCAAGCGTGAAAAGAGAAATTGTTAAGCTTTGTCATATTAGCCTTACCCGCTTTCTTGAAATGCTAATAAATGCATAAAGTTAAGCAACATCAGTTTTACATATAATCCCAAAATTGTTCCCTTCTCACATTCTGATACTTTAAATTATATACAATATCAGTAAAACAAATGCATAAATTTTCTGGATTATGTGCAAATCCGTGATATCTATCCTTCTGTTATTCAATAATTTATCATACGTAAAAATTAATTTCAACCTCATCTGGTTGACTAGTTCACTAGTTACCACCCGGTCCTAAAACCGGATCAAGAGAAAAGGTGGGACATAGGGTTAGCAACCCCACCTCGTAAGACCGATTCAACCGCCAAAGAAAATTCAAAGCATAAAGAAAATATAAAAATAAAAATAAACTTAATCTTCACTGGAATCGGAGAGACAAAATAACACCAGTTGGTGAAAGCCTTCAGGAAGCCAATTAGCCAATGTGTCTTCTCTCCCTCAGTTAAAGCGAAAGTGAGAATGCAGACATGGAATATCCGCATCATGTGTGAACCTTGCAAGTCAACCCAGATTGCAAAAGAGATGAGGAGGTATGGCAAGGAAGTGCTTGGAATGTGAGAGGAATCTGCAGATGGAATGGAGGTGAACTCTCCAAACTGTCAACTGGAGAGGAGAGTCAATAATCTACTCCAACATTGTCACCCAGACGACAACCACGAGCACACTGAGTTTTGTAGTGGCTATCATGATGTCCCCTTGAAGAACATTGAAGACTCTCTCTCATGCAGTGGAATCCAATCTCCTCTTCCTCCTCCTTCCCTTCTCCCTCTCCTTCTCAAGGATCATGACAGCAAGATGGATTCAAATGAAAAGGAAGGGAAGTCACAAGCATACAATGCTACGCTACGCTATGCACCCACAAAGAATGCAGGTGAAGAGAAGAAGGAGGAATTCTAGAGACAACTGCAATCAGTCAGTACTGAACTACACCCCACTCCAGTTGGCGATGGCGACATCAAAATTCATTCCAATGGGATGGGTGACATGAATGTGAAACTGGGAGTGGACTACACAGGAGGAGAACTGATCATCATGGGTCGAGAATCACTCGGTGAGATGGACGGGAATGGAGAAGTGTTTGCAGACTTCTGCGCATCCAACGATTTGTGATTCGAGGTGAGGTGAGGCGAGGTGAGGCGCGGCAGTGTGTACAAACACAAGGATATTCACAAGGCAGCGACATGGAATTGATCTCACCATTCACCAGATGGATACACTACAATAAAGATCAGATCGACCTCATCTCAATGTGTAGAAAGTGTAGATGGAGACGTAGCCTACTGGACACAAGATCAGATGAAGTGGGATGGGGGCAGATGTAGGTGGTTCATACCACTCACTACCTAGTGCAAGCAACCCACCTTGAAAATCAAGCTGAATGCTTCGAAGGAGTTGTTGATAGACCAGAGTTCAAGTTGAACACCCAGAACAGAAAGTGAACTGGAGGACGAGACTGGCAAGGAAATCGTCTTGTCAGTCATCAGAACAAAATTAGAGACATTGAGCAACATGTTTGAAGGAATGGGTGTGAAAGAACACTGGAACTGTGTGAGACAGATGTGGAAGTAAACCTGCACATTGGTGTTAATAAGGAAGAAGAGAAGGCGAGAGGAGAGGAGAGGAGAGGAGAGGAGAGGAGAGGAGAGGAGAGGAGAGGAGAGGAGAGGAGAGGAGAGGAGAGGAGAGGAGAGGAGAGGAGAGGAGAGGAGAGGAGAGGAGAGGAGAGGGGAGGAGAGGAGAGGAGAGGAGAGGAGAGGAGAGGAGAGGAGAGGAGAGGAGAGGAGAGGAGAGGAGAGGAGAGGAGAGGAGAGGAGAGGAGAGAAGAGGAGAGGAGAGGAGAGGAGACGAGGAATGGATGTTGACGGATCTCCACATGGAAGCTGATGAAGGAGGGAGAGGTAGATAGTGATGGTGAAGCAGAAGATGAACCAGTGCAAGGATACACGACGAAAGAAATAACTGAACACAACTCACAAAACACTACACTGGACAAAGAAGTGGAGAAGAGTGGGTGGAAAGATAAAATATACTTGTACGACACACTGGCAAGTGAAGCAGAACAGGCTGCAAGCCGGTAGGAGACACACAGACCTGACAACACTATATCAAATGACCAGTCTACTATCTGGGAAGGAAGAGATCAACGCAGATGAGACCAATGAAAGATAGTGAAGGAAACCTAGTTGCTGCTAAAGAGGAGGAACAAAGGAAATAATGGTCTGGTCACTTCAAAAAGCTCCTGAATCGACCAACAACACCACCACCATCGCCACCTGCAACTCATCCAGAAATACCACCAGCAGCCTAGCCACACAACTACCAGTGAACACAAAGCCTTCGATGGAAGGAGAAGTGATGTCGTGAAAGCCATGAAATTGCTGAAATCCGAGAGAGCAGGAGGACCAGATGTAACTTCACCAGAAGCACAGAAAATAGACACAGAGACAACAGCGGATATGCTCACACCACTACTGCAGAAAGTTTGGAATGAAGAGAAGATACCAGTAGAGTGGGAGAAGGGGTACCTTGTGAA